CTCGAATTGTTGATGCGACCGTCGCTCTTGTTTGCGTGTCAGAGGCCAAAACGTAAATGGATGCACGTTGTTCATTGTGCATTTATATATTATTAAGTGAGCATGTATATTAAAACCATTTGATGTCGTTAACGTGTAGATACAGAGGATTACACAACGTTGCACAAGTTTTGAGTCGTGCTCATCATTAGTATCATCTTCTGCAAGCATATGGTGTTAGAAACTAGGAAGCTTGCAGTTGAGACATGCACATATTTCCATTTGTCTTTCATTTCCTCTACTCAAAATGTATATTAGAATGCGCAAGACTTCTTGCATTGTGACTACTGTATATGTGATTAGAAACTCGCGCTCTGTCAGAAGCAGGTTTATCAATATTTTAAAGGGGTCATATGATGCGATATCAATGTTTACTTTCTGCGTGTCAGAGGCCAAAACGTAAATGGATGCACGTTGTTCATTGTGCATTTATATATTATTAAGTGAGCATGTATATTAAAACCATTTGATGTCGTTAACGTGTAGATACAGAGGATTACACAACGTTGCACAAGTTTTGAGTCGTGCTCATCATTAGTATCATCTTCTGCAAGCATATGGTGTTAGAAACTAGGAAGCTTGCAGTTGAGACATGCACATATTTCCATTTGTCTTTCATTTCCTCTACTCAAAATGTATATTAGAATGCGCAAGACTTCTTGCATTGTGGCTACTGTATATGTGATTAGAAACTCGTGCTCTGTCAGAAGCAGGTTTATCATATTTTAAAGGGGTCATATGATGCGATTTCAATTGTTCCTTTCTCTTTGGAGTGTTACAAGCTCTTGGTGCATAAAGAAGATCTGTAAAGTTGCAAAGACTAAAGTCTCAAATCCAAAGAGATATTCTTTATAAAAGTTAAGTTAACCACGCCTACCTAAAACGGCTCGTTCCAACACACCCCCACATATCTACATCACTATGTGGGAAGATTTGCATAACGCTGCCCAAATGTTCACGCAAAGAAAGAAGGCGTAACTTTTATTCTCGCTGTAGTATTGTTGCTGCCACCATGTCGTGAAGGCACTGTGTGTCTCGTTATGAAAGGGAAACTACTTTGTTTGGTCTTCCAAAAGAGGACGATATCCGCTTCGTCATGCCTGGAGCTGATCTG